CTGAGAAACTCCGTATTGAGATCGTCGACGAGTGGTTGCATGACGGGATAAACTTTGAGATTGGAGACAAACTTGTCGATTATTTCTGTTTGATAATGAAGCCTATCTTCTCTTATCGTCTTTGCTTATTGGTTCAAAACGTGAAATATACGAATAATTGAACAAGCGTATTTATGAAGCAAAATAAGAATAAACACTCATATATGCGTGACAGAAAGAACATGCTGAGAAACCCATCATGACATTTTATTTGATAGTATTGTAATTTACCTGTTGGTTCTAAATCTTTTGTATTTTAACCTTTATTCGGGTCTATGTTAACAGTACCTTATGTTCTCTGGTTATAGTCGTCTGAGCTTCTACTATTTTGGCCTTGCAACATGTCGCAGTCTACAGTTATAAATTAGATAACTCCTCTCTAGTAGTATCCCAAGTCGAAAACTTTTTAGGAGTCTTGGTGCCCTACGATTTAAAGTCTCACGCTACCTGTGACAAAAATGCCTTCCGAGCAAACCTTACACTGGTAACGTTAAAGCGCATTTTTGGTCAGTCTGACTGAAGGACTTTCCATATAATATTGAATAGTTTCATCCGTCCCCATTTACAGTACGGCAACATAGTATTTTCCCCTCACTCCAAAAGGATAAGGACACCCTGGAGCGTATCCAACGGTGAGCCACGAAATCAGTTCGAGGACTCAGATTTAAACCTTATGAAGAGCTCCTCCATTCACTTAACCTTTGCCCATCAGAGTATAGACGTCTTAGAGGTGACCTTCTGATGGTTTATAGTATCTTTAACACTTCTGGACATCCTCTTAAACACCTACTTAAGCTTAGTTCCAACACTAACCTAAGAGGTAACACCCAAAAAACGGGAGACACAACATAGCAGAACGAACTGTAGACACAACTTCTACTACTTAAGAGTTGTCAAATGTTGGAATGCGCTACCGGCCGAGCTAATCCAAGAGACTTTCCAGGAGCCCTTTAAGAGGCAACTTGATCTATTCTTAAGGACTAAGGATAGTATCACACTATGATTTACTAATTTCTTTTCCTCTTTTATTGTTAACATACCTAGGTTCCTGCCTGGAGGATTTGGTGATCCCTTGCTACTAGACACGGAAGCCTATCAAGCGAAAGCTTCTTCTATTCCGTCCGCAACCATTTGAACCATTTTAAAGACGTCTTTTGTTGCTTAATTTCACTGTTGCATGCTGCCGAACCACTGACGATAATATCGTGTTTCCCTAAACTCAGCGTAACGCCGTGGTCCAGTGTATGACTGTTAACCTCCGACTGTCTGCTTGGAAAGGTCGCAGAAATCCTTAGAGGTAGAACTCTGATCACATATTGTTAAGAATATTTTTACTGATTATCAGGTATCTAGCTCTTGTTTATTAATTATTTTTTTGTTTCATAGCACGTTGGTTTGTGCTGGAGAAACCCTTGATTGTATAGCACAGGCTCTATCATTTGAGGCATTTTGTACTTTAGAACTATTGTGTTTTTCCCCAAATAAAAACTGCCTAAATTGAGCACATAGTTTGTCTTTTTATGTAACTTAATACGAGTCACACAAAAACGCTTCGTACATTATGCAGAGGGACGTACTGTGGCCCAACCGAATAAGTTTCGATTCGTTAGTTCTGAGTTTTAACCGAATATTGGGATTTTGGTCGTTACAATTTGTGTGAGAAAATGAATTAAAAACAAATGAACATATAAATAAGAAAAATAAATCGTTATTGCGTTAAGATTTGACGGTAGAATCAGAGTATGTGCAGCAGCAGTTCATAATGATGCGGTGAAAGTCATATTTAATGGCATAGGATGGTGGAATATCAATTTATGAGATAAACTGAATTTGTGAAGTCAACTTATTTAGTTGTAACACCAGGTAATTTGTTTTTACTCACAAACTTTGGATGCTTGGGAGTAAACTTCATGTTGAAGTAAAAGAGAGGGGGGGAAGATATGAGGAAAAGGATATTCATTTTGTCAATGTATCAATCATGACAACAATAATAACAATGATAAATGGTATGAATGTAATCGAACTTCAGATGTCTAGATGAAAAGCAAGGGGACAAATAAAATAAAGGAACAAGCAAACAAAAATTAAAAGGTTTTACTTACATTCAGTTATACAAATGTCGGACCTTGCTTGAACTGTTCCTTTATAATCACTTTCGGAAAGAAAACCATCAAGGGGAGACAATGATACTCTGTTTCTCAGGACTGAATAGCAAATAAAGAAGTTTTGGTGTACGTTTGTGCATGTTCTCGGAATCGATAGAACATTCCTTTTATTGCCCAGGTTATGGCATGTCATGATAGAGTACGAAGTAGTGGATGCAGAAGAGTAGAAAATACTTTTGATATCCCAGTAGACAAAGAAAAGGTTCAATTTGATGTACCTAATCCAGCAAGGCTCTGACTTTAGTTGTTGACACTTTTAGTGCTAATCCTTGTTGTCAGGATTCATAAAAACAGCTTCGGTAAATCTTTTTCGAACAACTCTAATTCTAATCAGATCATTATGTCTGTGATTACTGTAAACTAGAACACTATACTTAAAGATGGATATGTGCATTTTTTTATTTAATGATAATCTCGATTCGATGTTATTTAAGCTTAAACAAATGAATTCCACGATTTTTCTCGCTTTGGATGCTTGAGATGCAGTGTGCTCAGAAGGGTTCAAACCTTCGCTATACCTCAAACCAAAGCCAGGAAGTGTTTAGAGGTTTCAGTATGTGTTCGTGTATAGCCAGCTTTCGGTTTCGGCTGTGGAGGATTTAAATAAATCCACTGTAGTCAACATTCAGTGACAGATGGGTCTATAGTTAGTAATATCGCCACGCGGTCCCTTTTTGAATCTAGGAATGGTAAGCAACGTGCTATATAAGGATGGATAGGCCCCATTGTACATAAACTGGTTGAACAGTTTAAAAAAATAATGAAACTTCTCTTGTATCATATTTTACGGGTGATGTCATCAGGTCTACCAGCATAAGACGTCTTGAGGACAGTTATGGTCTGCTTCGATGTTGGTGGATGTAAATTAAATTGCGGATAGATGCTATGATGTCAGCAATGGAAAAGGTATTGATAAAAATTCAGATTTTTGTGTTTTAGCGTCTCGTGAAGTGGATGGTGTAGTCGATAATGATAAATCTGGTAGGTTTAAGAGTATTAGATTTCACATGGGATTCGAAAGTCAAAATCTGAAACTCTTATCTTTTAAATATCAACTCATACATTTTTATTTCATAGGGTATGCATTTAACGACACTAAATGGAATATTGTTTTCAAAAACCAAAGCCACATTTCATAATCCAGCTAGCTCATATGAATATGAAATTCCTGAATTCAAGTTCTCTGTCGTCCATAGACTTTATCAGCCAGACTTCTGTCATGAGGATCGCATCAGACCTGACAGAATCTGTCTGTGGAACTAGCTGCGCTCAAAGTGGCTTCGACATTATTCGCTCCCGAAGGGTCACTACTGAAAAACGTACGTTCATGTCACCTTACTATTCATCATCTGATCTTAACCCCATATCCTTTTCAATTTCTGACTCTTTTATGCAGTCAGTGAACGACAATTCTTTTCGGACAAACAACCCTTGTCATTGCAGTTTACATTCATTTTTTGATATCTAACCCTTTTATCCGTAGTTTTAAATGCCACCTTGAACAACTTAGTTTCATTATCTTTAAAGTCTGTCTCTAATCCATATAAATTGATCTTGGTGATCACTGTAATTTCATGAGACAATAATTTATTTGAATAAACTTTTTGGTAAACCATGGTAATGTTCCGAAAGAATTCTGGGCTCATAGGTTATTTTCACCTTGACCCTTTAAAAGATAACTGACTTATCACTGTGATAAGAAGTGTTCACCGCCACTATGATAAGTAATAGCAAATTCATTGTATTAATTACATAATTACACACATACATGTGTAATACACTTTTTAGAGGCTGGAGGTATTAGATTAGTGTCAAGAGCTCTAGTCAAACCATCCGGAGGTCGTGTCAGTGGATAATGAAAAGCTGGCCGATCCTCACCAAGGTTAAGGATAATCGACACTCACCATTCAACCACACACCATAAATATGTCCATATGGTAGTGGTCGCACTCCATTATTTGAATGCATTCTGACAATTACAATCCTGCAATATCGGTATATTCCTTGTCGAAAGTCAGCAAAGTAACTCCAGTAGCAGTATACGACGAAAAGGTGTTGATGTTTTCCAGACAAATATAAAATGTTGTAAACGTTATAGATGGCAAGTTTTATCAGAAACTGTTTTCTTCAGCGGTTCCAATATCAACAGCTCTTTTACACTTGATAATATTTTTCTACAAATAATCTTTTTAGCTTCGAATGTTGAAAACGTCTCTGTTGTCACTAGATTGAATGTCTGGATTTCCAGATAATCATACGCATGTTCACATAACCGCAAGCTGCCATGAATCCACCATGGTCTGCTCACGAGAAAGTTCTATTCAAGAGTAAACTATACCTTATATATTGCTTAAGGGAGGACGAGCTTTAAAACGACGGAAGCAAAGGTTATGGAATGACAAAATTAGTTATGTACTAACTCATCATAAAAAGGTGAAGCTGTGGTAGTGTACATATACCAACCAGAAATGGTACTATCTAGAATCTCATCCTACACAATGATGTCAAAGCCAAAGAAACCGGACATCAGGAATAGTTGGACTCACAGTTATATTTTAGCTGCAAATAAATGTACTGGAGTGTACGCAATCTAGGCTAAGTAGTTATCGTTTGAGATTTAAAGTATAGGGCACCCAAACTTAATCAAATACGATTGCTTGGACAAGAGAATCTAGCTAAGGCTATTTTGAGTAAAACAAATAGGGTGAGCAAAACTCCAGGGACTACAAAGCCATTTATTTAAATAGCATAGTTGACACTACAGTATAAAAAGAAACAGTTTTACTTCAGGATTACCAAAATATTTAGTTTATTGGTAAGATCAGTGCTAAAATGTCCAGTTTTTTCAACATGAAAATCACTTCGTAGACTACGTATACAAGAGTTCAGGTCTATTCTATACATTACATGTTGCTAAATGAAACTGAATCCGTTCGAAGTTCAAGTATTCGAGCAAGGATTTAAATCATAACAACCAGACTCTTGAGTGCCAAACAAGTCTTTAAAGTCATTAATGACTAAAGCTACCGGTAATCCGTAAATAAACGTAGGACTCATAATAAAGACAGGATTTGTATGATATGTTATTGAATGTTTTCTCCGTAAGAGTAGTTTCTACGGCGAGACTATAATTTATGGACGAACCAATCACGTGTAGGATAACAGGTGTCGGTTTTTGACTCTAAATTCACTCATCTATTTGAATAAATAGAGATTCGGCATTATAACTGATGTCGCCTCCTGATGAGAACCCGAAATTTAGTTTCTAAGCTTAATTACCAACTGTATATTATAATTCTATTGCCTCACACAGGGTCACAACCCTAATTTGGTCCTGGTTGATAAGTGGACACTCAAGATCAGTCTAGCGTCGCTTAAAGGTCGTCCATAATTCATAGTCTTACCATTTCTACTCCTTGAGGGTGGTCAAATACCGGAATTGGTTGCCGGCTGAGCTAATCCAAGAGACTTCTTTGGAGTTCTTTAAGGGAAAACGTGATATATTCTTAAGGGCTAAGGACAGCATCCTACTATGATTTACCAACTACTTTTAGTTTTCCTCACACTTGGCTTAGTCACGTCCTTGTTAATACCGTGCTTATCCCTATGTAGACGTAACAAATCTCTATAATGGAAAGCTAAGAGGTCAATGTGCTTCTTGGACGTAGAGTAAAGCATTGAAGTATGTTTATCAATAGGGTATATCGTAGAAGTGATGGAATTCCACCATTTTTGCTGCAATTAAATCCGTTAATATTGACAGAAAATGATGTCGTAAAAGCTCGAGTTTCATCAGAAGATTCTAGTAGTGTGTTCTTTACTAGCAATGGTAAATGACCAACCATCAATGATGATAGTGAAGACTTGTCGATTGATCCGCTGGTTATCGAGAAAGAAACTGTCTTACGATTATTTTGCCACCTTAAACCAGTCAAGGTCAGTAATCCCGATGGTCTTGATCCCATGATTATGAAAACGCCGGCGGATGTGATTGTCGAACCTCTGACAATACTGCCTGATATGTCTTTGCGTTAGTCGAGACTCTCAAGGGACTAGAAAGGCACGATCATCGGTCCAGTTTATAGAGCGGGTAGTAGAGACTTAGTTAGTAACTAGTCATCCGTTGTTCTAATCAATTTAGTTGTCAAGCGTGTGGAAAACATTATTTGAATTGCCATTCCAAACCATGTGAATGGGAACAATCTTTTACCCATAGAACAGTATGGTTTTAGGAAAGGCATTTTACGCTTGGAAAATCTGCCCATTGCAAGGGAAACTTTGGTTGCATCGGGAGGTAAAAATGGTTAAGCAGATGTAAGTAAAGCTTTTGACAAAGTCTCTCATTTTGGCCTTGAGTTAAAACTAGATCGTTTCAAGACCCATTATAAAAATTATAAGCTGGATAAGTGACATTCTCAGTAAAAAAAGACGAAAGGTATGGGTGAACGGGGCCTCATCAACGTGGGAATCTGTAAAATGTGGAGTCCATCAAGGTGCAATCCTCGTTCGTCTCCCTTTTCTACTTTATGTAAATGACATATGAACTGTAGTAAAAGCATCTGTTCTACTCTCTGCAGATGACATAAATATTTGGAGACCCACACACAGTATGTTGAAATTGTGAACTGACTATTAATTGCCATATGTTTTTGAAGTATTTTGGGTAATTCCAAGATGTGTCAAACTAATTAAATCACAGAGACCTGTGAAAACAAAATATTGCCTGATGAGAATGATCTGAAGATGGTATTTAGAATGTGCTCACATAGTGTTATTGCTCACAAAGTGGATAATGTGTCCGTTCTTTAAGGTTCGACCGATGGTCTCGTTACCACTCACTTTACTTGGAATGATTAACTGAGAACAATTCTTCATGAATATGTGATCAGGATTCCTTTTTATTTTAGCTTAACAATCACAAAACAGTTCTACATTTTTCAGTTACTCCTTATAGGAGTTGTCAATCCTGGTTATTTATTTAATACGTATTTCTCAACATACAGAAAGCTTAGTAAAGGATAAACAGACCTCTTGTTAGAGTTTTTACAGCATCAACAGGTGGAAACTCCACTCATCTTTTGCAAAAGTTTCGGATATCTGAAGAACAATGTGATTCTTTACAACTTGATTGATGTACAGCATTATCTGTATTATTCTACTTCTGAGTTAGCAATTCTACTGAAATATAGTTACAGACTTGTCTTGATAATGTGCTACAACTCTAAAATGTTATCTCTTAACAAAGGTAGAGTTAAAACGCTTGGACAATTAACTTTTCGTTCTTGTGTTTAACTTTTAAGAAATACAGACTAGTTGGTTTTACGAGCTTTTATGTTCAACATTCCAGTTGGCTTCCATGTTTCAACCGGTTTCTTATTAGTTGTATAATATAACTTGATTGAAATTGACACTACATATGTGTTCAGCTAACTAATTCTTATAATCAACCGTTTTTTGTTACTTAGTTAACCATGTCCAATAACAAACTACTGGATAATGCAAATCGACTGTGGAAAATGTTAGACGAAATGTCTGAGAATGACCCAGTTTGCTACCAAAAATTTATTAACAGACAAATGGAGTCTTTTCACAAAACTATATCTCCACCTATCATAAGATTTGTTGTTAAACTTACTCAAAAAGTAAGTGAAGGTAATGAAATATATTGTTTGTTAATTTTTGAAGTTATTTTGAAGCCAAAGAGAATTGATTGAAATAAATGTTATTTGTTCATATATCACTATTTTGATACGATGAAGATTTTTAAACAGTTCGTTGTACATACATTTCCGAAATATTTCATAAAGGCAAATCAGTGATAAGTGCTGTCATTTTACACTTTAATGTATTATTATGTCAACATTTACCGTAACCTTTTGATTTTTAAAAGTATGAGGAACTCCCTAGCTTTGCGCATACAATCAATACTTTGGATTTACTACTTACCTAAAATACTTAAGTGTAACTCACGAACATTGTTCATGATCAGAGGCTTGTATGATTTATATGCTATACACTACTATGTTTTAATGACATGTTGTTAATAAGTTCAGTCAGGTGTAATTTGGATTGTAGCAATCATATCAGGCTTGTTTTAAGGATACATATATCACAGATATTCGAACTTTGAAAAGCAGACAAGTAATGAAAGATACTACGACTAAACAAAGCATCGGGGTTCGGCAATACAGCTACTCAGACAGTAATAAAATGACTCAGTTTTTACAATGCACGTGAGAAATGCAGGAAGTGAATAAACACATACACAGCATGATGCAAACGCATAAAGCACACTCAAATATACTTGTGAGTAATTGATAAAGGCAAATATATTTGTAACAGATTCAGTGTAAAGATTGGAATAATTCATCTATGTAAAGGTTAGGATATTTGGAATTGATTCGTAACAATACTAATTGATTCAGGATGACCGAAGAGTCATTGTAAATGAAAGTAAACGGAAAAGACAGAGCATATGTTTCCTATTAATGCTTTAGAAATAACAATATACCATTTCTGATTAATAAATAGTAGGATAAACTTTTTACATTCAACTATATGTTGATTTATTTTATCGAAGAGTTATTCATAGAATGGTATACTTATTTTTAACTTTTCTACTTGTCACTACTATATGTATTTTGCTTTACTATAAAGGTTCAAGATTGTCCATTTTCTAGATTCTATTTGATATTGTATGAAGTCCTAGAATTGAGCCTGAGAGTTACATCTTAATTGATTGGAGAGTGACTGAGTCGAGGTACTGATTCCTTCTAATCGTCTGTAACATTTTGTTATGTCCATTTCATATTATTAATTTGTATTTAAGCATGTTACTCTATTACAAAGCAAAACCAACACTTTGGTCTCAAGTCACTATGGATTCTTGACTATAGTAAATTCTCATGAGCAGCCATTACTCGGTTAAACTGTATCATTGTATTTCATCTATCGATCATCGTTATTTCTTTTGTTTTGAAAATCCATTCATAATCCGCACTAAATACAGTTTCCTCCTTTCGAAGTTAATTGAATACTACTTATTATTTACGAGTACATTGAGTTGTATTTCAATTATTTATAAGCCTCGCAAGCTGTAACAAGTACTATCAGTATGGTGAAATGAGCTTCTTATAATATTTTTCCATACTTTACTTTGATAATATATCCCCTATTCTCAAACTTTCAATTTCGTTGTAAGAACTACAGAGTGCGAACTTCTTTCCTTTCAACAAGGTAGATCGTATTGTTTTTTTCGTTAATTGCTAATATTCGCGTTTGATATGACTGCTTTGCTTTCTTGTGCAGAATACGTCTTGTAATTCTATAATTAGTTATTTATTTATAGACTAATCACTTTCTTTTTATTCATGAATATGAAAGTGTGTCGAATATCTAAACTGCTCACAATTTGAAGAATAACATGGATAATATTTACTCGATTAACGAACTTATTATCACATTAGTAAACGAATGTTACTTTTTTAAATCTAAAGATTTTACGCGGAACTTCACTCGTCAGTTTATAACGTTTCGTACACGTCGTGTAACTAATGTTTCTTAAAAACAAAACTGTGAATTGCCTTTTAGTGTTTGCTTATATATTTGCTTTTAAAAACTTCATTTTATTAAGTTGAACGAACAACCTTTAATAGTCAACTTTTGTGAATGGTCAATTATTCCAGAACCTGAATCATCAGATACTCCAATTCCTGTGAAATGTGGTGACATATTTATGATAAACGAAGGTAACTGAGTGAAAAACTGTTGAATTTCTTTCATCCAAAATGTTATTGAACCATGTTTTGTTTTCTAAAGTTGTCAAAATATTAGTTTGAAAGTTAAAGAAAACATTGTCTAGAGGTTTCGTAAAGGTGATAAAAAATGGTTGTGCACTGAAACAA